AAAAAAAAATTGAATCCCACCACTGAATAGAACAGAATTCTTTTATTGGCCAAGTCTGATTAGACTCACAAGGAATTTGTTTCCGGTGCATAAGCTCTCCATGTGCATACAACAATAGTGATAAAAGGTTTAATTGTTTGAAATTAAATTTACAAGATTATATTGTTAAAACAGAGAATAGGGGGAAACAAAAACTAGAAAAAGAGCCCTAGGGCAAAAGAAGACTTTTTGGATATAGAATAGAATAGAATAGAATAGAATAAGGAGTAGGAGTAGGAGTAGGAGTAGATAGGATAGGATATGGTAGGATAGGATAGGATAGGAGAGTTGGAAGGGACCTTGGAGGTCTTCTAGTCCAACCCCCTGCTTAGGCAGGAAACTCTATACCATTTCAGACAAATGGTTATCCAATCTCTTCTTAAAAACTTCCAGAGTTGGAGCATTTACAACTTCTGGAAGCAAGTTGTTCCACTGGTTAATTTCTCTCTCTCTCTCTCTCTCTCTCTCTCTCACACACACACACACACACACACACACACACACACACGTATGTATGTATGTATATTCTGCATTTTGTGTTTGTAACTTTGTTTGGAAGAAAACAAAAACAGGTTAAAAAATAGAGTCAGTTCTGAGTCAGCCAGGGTAGGATTTGCAAAAGTTCCTCCGTGATGGTTTTTCACCCCAAGAGAGAGAAAGAGAGAGAGAGAGAATCTATTGGACTGACACAGAGAATCTGTTGCGGAATTTATCATCCTGTCAAGGGCACAAACGCTGCTTTGAGCACCAGCAGGAAAAACAATTTGCTGAAGCAGTAAGTTGCAATTCATCGAAACCCCCACCCCTTCTTCCCAGTGTCCTGGTTCCACACTCAACAGCTGCTGAAGTGGAACTTGAAATATGGGGATGTGGTGAGGCAGAGCGCGGGGGAAATGGATAATGCCACCCTTTTGGAGCTGGCCCTGGTGCCAGCAGGATCGGATCACCTCCCGATACTGGCAGTTCTTGGCAGTCCATTTGGGGGCATTTCGTGGGGAAACGGGGTGCAGCCGGATGCCCCCCCTCCATCCCTGCTCAAGTGCATTGCAAAATAGCCAGCAGCCCCCCCCCTCGCATGCAAAGAAGCAGGAGTGTGCACAGGTGTGTCGTTTTCTCTTCTTTACAACTGAGGATGGGAGCCCAAGCAAAAAAAGCCATTTGCTGCCCTGAAGCAGAGGTGAATTCAGACACACCACAGAACACCACCATTCCTAAAGCTCATTTTGCGGGGGGGGGGGGGAAATCTCGCTCGCTCGCTCGCTCACCCACCCACCTGCCCTCCTCATACGGTCCAAAGGCGGTAAGGAAGGCCTGTGTTTGGGTTAGTCTGGGAGGGGGGGAACCCCAGGGGAGGTACAGCTGGTTTCGTTGCATTTTGCATTTTTCTTCTGCTGTATATTTACCTTTTGTTTTGTTTTGTTTTTAAAACACTGTTTAGTCCTTAGCCCTTCCTAGACTGTAAACTTAAAAGGAAGGTTTATGACATTTGTTGCAATAACCATATGATGGCCATTGGTTAGAAGGGGGGGAGGAGGGGGGAGAAGGAAGAGAAGGAAAAGAAGGAGAGGAGGAAGAAGAGAGGAGGAAGAGGAGGAGGAAGAGAAGGAAAGGAGGGGGGAGAGGAGGGAGAGAAGGAAGAGGAGGAGAGGAGGAGGGGGAA